ATAGTAATAGATAGTAATAGATAGTAATAGATAGTAATAGATAGTAATAGATAGTAATAGATAGTAATAGATAGTAATAGATAGTAAATAGGATACTTGCTATGACAATTGCAAGATGAGGATTAAAAAAAGGGGCATTTCTAAATTAGGGATTCTATGAAAGTGGAGAACGTAACATGTCAACTTCCAAATTTGCACTTGATGTTTACTTGATGTTGAATCTTAATTTGTCCAGGTGGCGAAATTGTTTACGAAAAAGCATAAATATGTCCGGTGTCAGAATTTCAATTTTTAATTTAGTTGCGGGGACCGCAAAAAGATCTTGCGGATTATATGAATTTAGTTGCGCATATGAAGATCTCTATATTCCTATTTACTACCCAATGCTTGTTATGACACTTTGCTATGACACTTACAAGTTTTTCTTTTTAAAGACGTAACACATGCGAAATAAAGATTCCATTTATTCCATTTATTTTATTTTTTTATTTTTATTTTTTTTATTTTTTTATTTTATTTAGAGCGATCAGGATAATCTGCCTACTAAAATACTTAGATGGTTCAACTGCAAAGCTAATTTAGTTCTATATGCCTGTTTATGCAACCAGTTATTTCTCAATTACAATAAATAAATAGATCTACGAAACGTTTACAATAAATGCAATAAATGAATCAATAAATGAACAGATCTTCCAAACGTGTAACCATCAAGAACTCCTATTTGATCATCGATCAACGGTTTATCATTCTATGCTATATTATCGCTATATTATCACGTGATTGATGTTTTGTTACGCCCTTCTTCTTTGACATTTTTAAGTTCTTACATGCATGAATCGGACATACTGTAAACAAAAAAAAAAAAAACAAAAATAAAGATGACAGTTTAATCATTCCCAATTATAGCAAAGATCTTAGTCGTGTCAATTAGCTGTCTTTTGATTGGTCAAAATAAAAACAAAGTAAACTTGGTTGTTTATCACTATCAGATCTTAATAAATTGTAACAACATGTTACACGTAACAACTTAATGGAACATGTAACATATTACAAATACATTAAATAAAAAAAAAAACCTAAGAAATGTGATTATAAAACCATTATTCTTTTTTTTTTCTTATTCTCAATTCCTCGAAGAACCGACCTTTTACCCCTTGCTCCGTCGAAATCGCACACCTTTCCCTCATCTCCCCTTAAAGGAATGTTTCAACCGTCGATGAAATTTGATGCTCCTGCTTATTGTTCTGCCCCGAACTTCATCTCTTCTCATAAAACAAAATCTCCCACTCTCCAGGCAACTTCAAATTTGACACGTTGCACGTTGGCTCCAATCACAAGCCTAATTACGTCCATTACTTCTTCGTCACCAACGAATGAAATTATGAATAACAGTAATACAATGTTCCCTATTGTTTCTTGTCAATCTAGCGCTTCTTCCAATGGTAAAAATAAACGCGGCAGAAAGCCCTTACCAACAATGCCTTCTGAAAAGAGGCATTTCAGAAATTTAGTCAACCAACGCGCATTCCGTGAACGTAAAAAAACTTACGTTCGTGATCTAGAAACTAAAGCTTCAAAATTCGAAGCTTTGTATACTGAATCTCTAACTGAGATTAAATCATTGAAAGAAAGGGTCGCGTTGTTAGAAAAATTCATTGCAAGTAATAATATGAATGATGCCGCTGATGGTTATATGGTCGAAGATAATCATCCCAATGAAAATCGTTTACCTCAGGAAATCTACAAACGCAAAGAAAACGTGTCATATACGATGTCCACTGTCTCAGATCAATATTCAAGTTATCCTTCAACGTCTGGGAATTGTAACTTGTTATCGTTCCCTCCAAGTACCACATCAACATACATACTTAATGATGTACGACAGCGACAAAGAAGTAACCAACAACTTGAAGAACCTTTTCAAAATTCTTTACAATCAGATACTATTAATAATCCTACCCCTGCATATGGTCCTCGTTCTCCAACTCACTCTTCCTCTTCAATTGAAACAATGGAATCTGGTGAAAGCAATGGTTCGGCTGTAACTTTAAATGGTCTCTCTAATCCAATGACCACTTCCACTTCTTTCTATTCCATTTTTTCAAATGAACAAAAAAGTTATTGGATACCTACTTTACCGGCTGCTTCTAATGATGAAGAATCCGCGTGGCAGAAATTAGATCAACAAAGATGGCGTTCACTGGCATCAACATTACCACCGCACCTTCAATATGATGTCAATCGGGGAAGTTAATTTTGTTTACAATTTATTTATGTCCATTTTGTTGTTATCCATCTTCGGATTGGGACATTCATTATAAGGGGCACATTTAAACCTTTTTCATTAATCTTCCATTTTACATGTACATATATTATATGCAAAGAAAATTAGATAATATATATATATATTATATAAACCTTTCTTTATCCGTTTATTTATTTATTCTACAGTATTTTAGTTTTTTTAATGAAAATTAGTACGTTTTTTTAGTGTGATTTCGAAAAACCACCACCTATTCCGCAGAACGATTCCCCCCTTCTCTTTTACTTATTCGTTTTTTTTTTTTCGTTTATTTTTCGAAACCGGACAATTTTTTTTCGATAAAAAACAAGCATTGGGAAATATATGATTGATTCGTATTATATAACACTATGGGGAAAAAGTGTTATGACGTAAAAAGTAAGAATAGTTTTAATTTCTAATTGTTTATATTGTTTATAATAGACATTATGTGTTTCCTTCATTTATTCTCGTATATATGAATTCCATTTACGGTTGTTTGTCAATGATCATTTTTTTATGCATAATAAAATTTTTTTCCGGAAACTTGATCCAAATTTTGATTATGGACTAGATTTAAAGGTAAATCATGGTTGACGGGTATAAAATTTCATAGTAAATTTCGTCAATGTTATAGTGTGGAAAGGCAATTAGCTTACAACGTTGAAGATCAATCAGATTGCCTGTAGAATTATCAAGATTAGTTTAATAGATCTCTCGGATCTATATTTTACTTTTATCTATTGTCAAACCCTTTTTTGGCATTTTAACGTTATATGAAAGTGGTACGTATATAGTAATTTTTCGCCAATTTTTACTATGATATGTATACTCTTTAGCTGCATTTTACCATTTTAATCTACCATTTTAATCATAAAATATTATTATTTGTAAATTTTTTCAAAAAAATTAATTTTTATTAATGCTATATATATGTTGTACCCCAAATGACAATCCTGTTCCGATTGCTAATTGGGACAGCCCAAATTAAAATTGCCCTTAACGTCTGGGCTAATTAGTTTATAATTTTGGCCAGATTGTCATCTGGGAAAATTGTTATTTGGGGCACGACATATATATAGGGTTTTATAATTTATTGCAGGTGCAATATATTGCACCCCTTTTATTAATAATAAAAATTTATAATTTAGTTATAAAATTTTGATTTTATATTATTTGTGTAATGTTGTACAAATGTAAATTATTTGTGTAATGTTGTACAAATGTAAATTATTTGTGTAATGTTGTACAAATATAAATTATTTGTGTAATGTTGTACAAATGTAAATTATTTGTGTAATGTTGTACAAATATAAATTATTTGTATAATGTTGTACAAATGTAAAGTGTAATATTGTACAAATATAAATTATTTGTATAATGTTGTACAAATATAAATTATTTGTATAATGTTGTACAAATATAAATTATTTGTATAATGTTGTACAAATATAAATTATTTGTATAATGTTATACAAATGTAAATTATTTGTATAATGTTATACAAATGTAAAGTGTAATATTGTACAAATGTAAATTATTTGTATAATGTTGTACAAATATAAATTATTTATATAATGTTATACAAATGTAAAGTGTAATATTGTACAAATGTAAATTACCGTATATTTCCGAAAATAAGCTACATCCGAAAGAAGCTACCTTCCTTTTTTGAAAGAAAATCATAAAATCCTCTTATACCCGAAAATAAGCTACTATACGATCGCCAATAGTTATCCTATAGTAAAGTCAGAATTTTACTAAGTAAATCGACATAGCTTATTAAGTAAAAGTTGTTCAGGAGATCAAAATACATATATTATAAAAGTTTCATGCAAACCGAATAACCTTTTATTAATACATTTTTGCATGTTATGTTCGACGAATTTTTTAAAATTTCTTTAACATTTCTTTGAAATT